CTTTCAGGTAACGTTGACTCCGAGCATGGGTGTGAAGCCGGTCGAAGGTCGCCAGGATTATGCCGTAACCCGCCCGGGCGAGAGCATCCCATGCTGGCTGTCCCTCAAGGTGGGGGTAAGTTAAACTGAACCCTAAACCCTAGACCTGGGTTAAGGGTTTCGGGATGCCACGGGAATGGGATACCTTCCTGAATAACAATCCCACTAAGCCCGAAACCCCAACTACTTAAGGTCCATATTGGGACTTTCTGAAACACTCAGGTCTACAAGACTGGGTCATATCTCCTCCCATTGTTTGGGACGTGTTATCGGTTGATGTTTGTGAGCGCTGTCCCACACATCCACTACAAGATCGTCAAGCAGGTGTCCGTGTTGCGGCAGAAAGGTGCGGATTGGCGAGCTTGTTAGGAGAACTCGAAGCCGCCAAGTGAGAACCTGTGTTTAGGGTTTAGGATTTAACGTTGAGGGTTTAGGGTGTTTGACTTACAGGGGTCCTAAACCCTAAACCCTAAAGGTTCTATGATACGACAGCATGCTCTAGAGGGAATGCATTTTCTGCTCGCTTTGATCAGAGAGGTCGGGATGAGCTTTCGGCCTCATGGTCATACTTATCAGTCTGTTTAGGGTTAAGGGTTTAGGGTTTAGCCCGAATCCAATCCTCAAGCCCGAAACTTAAGTGAACCCTGAAACTTTGGTTCTCTGTACTTTGTACAATCCGACCTTCGTTAAGGGCCGTCACAGGAAAGCGAGAGTGGGGCTATAAAGGAGTGGACAACGTAGGCAACCGTTGCTGTACCATACGAGCTGCGATTCGGTCACTGTAATTAGCCTTCTGTGCACAAGCGAAACTGAAGATCGCGGTAGTCCCCCTCAACGGCAGTGCCATTTCACGATATCTGCCGACTGAAGCAATTGCTCACGGCAGGGTGAGACAGGAGCATCTTGTGTGCTGCTGCTTGAGGCTACTCGCGGGGCAAAACACTTCGACAGGGTCATCCCAAAACCCTAAACCCCGAACCCCAAACCCTAAACCCCAAACCCTAAACCCTAAACCCAAAACCCTAAACCCTGAACCCTAAACCCTAAACCCTAGCTTTAGAAGTCCCAAAACCGTTCTCAGTCTATGCTCACGTACCTAAACCGCAGAGCTCCAAAACTTCCCCAGGGACCTGCCAAGTTTCTCTGATTCGGCGGTTTACGCTCAGGGTGGAAGACTGTTCCCACCTTTGGGTTTAGGGTTTAGGGTTTAGGGTTTAGGGTTCAGGGTTCAGGGTTCAGGGTTTAGGGTTTAGGGTTTAGGGTTTAGGGTCCCCTAGACCCCCTATACGCACAAAAGCCTTACACCCCAACGCTTAGTTCCTTCACTACAGCCCCAACTTGGAGGTTCATGGGTAGTTATAAATAGGGTTATAAGTAGGCTAACTATAGTTATAAACTATAGGGGATGTATAATTCCACTTAGAACTACCCATGGGCCTCCAAGTATGATCCCTTATAGACTCCTTATAGGACCCCTTATAGAGCCCCCTTATAGATCCCTTTAAAGGAGCCTTATAACTACCCATGAACCTCCAAGTACCCTAAACCCTAAACCCTAAACCCTAAACCCTAAACGCTAAACCCTAAACCCGGATCCCCTAAAGGAGCCTCATGAACCTCCAAGAAGGGCAGCCAGGCCCCTTCGAGGTTTGCGGTGTCCCCATGTAGGCGTCGAACCCCGGAGCTGGGAGCTCCATGCACTGACGAAGCTCAACCCCCGACTCCAGACCAAAAGCCCTAAGCCCTACTTTCATATAGGGTTTAGGGTTTAGGATTTAGGGTTTAGGATTTAGGATTTAGGGTTTTAGGATTTAGGGTTTAGGGTTCAGGGTTTTCGGGGCCTTAATGATTAGAATCGGATTTTGGGGCCCATTGCACTATAACTATAATAAGGAACCCCCAAAATAGTATAGGTAGTTATTAAGGCCCCTACATTAAACCCTACCTTCACCCTACAAAACCTTCCTTTCTAGGGTTCCTTATTCTGTTTTTTCCCGAAAGCATCGCGAAGGGTTCTTCCGTGCGGAGCCTCGCAGAGAAAATACATAGAGAATACGTGGAGTCAAGTACACTTGACTTTACCACACTTGACTCTACGACACTTAGCTTTACCACACTT